AAGAAGAAGGATAAAGCTAAGGGAGGGGGGGATGAAACGTTTATTCATAGTTAATTGCATTCGATGGAGCTTCCAGTTCTTCTAAGCGATTTAATTACGTCTTGTTTCACGATCTACTGGTATTATTACACTGATATACTGCCATTGTTGTGCGAGGCGCATGGTGTTTGTTTGAATGGTGTACTCTATGCGTATTTTTCTATATTTTTTTACATTTCCAAGCCGTTTCACACACACACAGTTTAGGTAAACGTATGCCGTGTGCACGCTCCTCGTTTTTCGTTCCTCTTCTCCCGCGTCCGAGCGACTCGAGCGTTATTCTGTTACCGCCGCGAACGATTACGAGCGTCGCCCCGCGGTTTCGTCTTCTCAATCTTCTTCTTCTTCTTCTTCTTCGTTTGTTCCACCCGTGAAACCGGCGCGCGTCCGCGTTGCACGCTGGACCACCCTGTATTCAAACTCTCACCATGCCGGTTAGGTGTATTGTAAAACGTTTGCTCGTTTCGATTCGTGTCTCTTCGTATCTAAGTGTAACGCGTAGCAACGTTCTTAACGATTTTTGCGTTCCGTATTCGACGCCCTCTTAATCGCTCGCTCGCGCGCGCGGGGAGGCCGGCTGCGCTCCGTTCAAACGGAGAGTTAGGAAGAGCACGCGAGAGAGAGAGAGAGAGAGTGAGAGAGAATGTTATCCGATCGTGATAAGGAACACGTGGAAATTCGAATGTAACGGAGCTTCGTTTCATTCGCTTCGCGCGAACGGTGTAGCGTCGATCGGAAACGAATGACAGTAAAAGGAACATGCGAGAAAATGGTGGAGGAATCTTTAACACTAAAACTACCGGGCCTAAATTAGCCATTTTTAATTTCTTTGCGATTATTGAAAACGTGACTCTTCTCTGAGGAATCACTGAAGACGTTGATTTAGTTCTAAGCAAACTGTAAATCAGTTGGAATCTTAATAGACATTGCAGCTTCTGCAGAGAAATGTCGAAGAGACAGTTTGACTGTCCAGTGGTTTTAATGTCACGTTGCACTAAAACTACTGGGCCCAAAGGAGTCATTCGTGATTTCTTTCTGCGGTTATTGAAAAGGCAATAGACTTCTGTCATTGATTTACTTCTAAGCGAACTGTATTGTAAATCAACTGGAATCTCGACAGACATTGCAGCTTCTACAGAGAAATGACGAAAAGCAGTTTGTCCGGTGGTTCTAGTGTTGACCGTCAACGGGAGCGGTCTCTAAACCGAGGCGGCAACGAATCAATGCGAGACCGACGAGCGCCGTTCGCGTTCGACTCCGCTTAGCTTTAAATAGCCCCGCTTCATTCTTTTTACACGCGGTTTCGCAAGGATAATCGCGTCTTCGATTGCTTCCGCGAAAAGGGAAAGGAGAGGAGAATAGAAAACGGATCGCCGCAGACAAGAGACGAAGATAAAGCGTTTCGCGTTGAAATATTCCTTGCATCGTCCGTTGATTCGTCGTCGAGGACGTTGCCGGTGCTCCCATCGTCTACAGAGGATTGTTAACGCGGCTCGGGGAACTCCGCTAATTAACACTAAAACCACCGTACAGGTCGAAACGATCTCCTCGCGATTCCTTTCCACGATTGCGAGAAAGATAACAGACGTTTCTCTTAGAAACGATTAAAGACATTGATTTAGCAACGCTGAATTGTTAATCGATTAAAGTCTCAATAGACTTAGCCTTCGAGTTTCTATAGAGGAATTTCCAAAAGTTAATTTCGCTCGGTAGTTTTAGTGTTAATGATGGACGTGCTGGTTCTTGACCGTTAGGTCTATCGGCGAGGAGCGAAAAGCGACTGCGTCGTTCCGGAAACCGAACTCAATCGAGGAATCGCGTCGAGTAGCGAGAGACGGTGTGCAGGAGAGAGAACGACGCGAAAGCGACCAACTAACCCGCGCACAATGGGCGAATTCGCAGGTTTACCGATCACGAGTCTAACGTTCGAACCGACGATCAGCTAATCTAGCGACAATGAAATGTTCCGCAGCAATTCCGCAGGGAAACGATCGTGTATCTTGTATACTCGCGACAATTAACACGTTCAGTGCCACGCGAATGTCTGTAAGATAATATGTTTAACCCTTCGCGGTCCGAAATACTCTTGGTTTCTCACTTTGAGGTTCGACGTTAGTTCATTCAATTACAGCTTGATACGACGCTCTGTTCATTTATTCAAGAATATTTGAGAGTCATTGAAATGTTACCTCTAAATGGTACAATTGTGATACTACAAATATAGAAAAAATTGTTAAAGGCAGAGGTTGCAATAAAATAGAATGTCGAGTGGCATTCGAAGGATTAACCCTTTGCATTCGAAAGCTTTCCACTGGAAATATTCTATACTTTCTAATTGGATGTAGACGAGTTCTTTAATATGAATTTAACAAATCATTCATAAATTAGGTAGCAGAACTATTTCCTTTGAATACCAAGTAAATACCAAGATTTATAATTTTGCTGGATCAAATCATCTAGGAGTCGCCTCTCGAGTGTAAAGGGTTAACAATTCCGGAACGTTGATTTTGAACCGAAGAAGCGTCGGATGTTCGCCTATTGTGCGCCGGAGCGAGGTACGAAACGGAGAAACCGACGATTTCCTGTGAAACACAATTCGCCTCCCTCGAAAGCTATCAGATCTCACGTTCTTCGATGCATCCAATAAAATGTTCTTGATAAACACGACCGATGGTGTGTGATTCGTAGCGAGTAAGTCCGCGGCTGGCCGGGGATCCGGTCGGCCCGCGATCGAGGCTGGAACTGACGATCGCTTCAATACAACTGTTATGTAATCTCCGTGAAAATCGTCTTTCGTTTACGACGCTTCGTCGACAGGTTTTTCAAATATCGCACGATCAGTTGGAATAATCGAAATTATTGTTCCTCAAACTCGACACCGTCAGGCTTGACGAAGGTTCACCGACGTCGTGTTTTAACACTTTGACCGCCACGTCAACGAAGTTCGGGTGGTACCGTTTTTATAGAAAATTGAAACGTTCGCTTTCCTCGTGGCATATCGAACCGAATTTTGTTGGTACGAGGTATAAGAAGCATAGAGCAATTACGATGAAGAGTCTTCGCATTTTAGTTTCTATTTGATTGAAACTGTTTCGACGAGGAGCGTCTACTTAGCAGTCAGAGTGTTAACACGTTCCGTGCCACGTGTGCCATTTATGGTACGCGCGGAATTTTTCCAAGGAAACGTTTCTTGCGAGACATGTTCCAGAGAACAATGGTACAAGTGAAACGAGAGAAATGTGAAGAAATAATGGAATATCCGCAGAGTCAGCGGAAGCTTGATTGTAACTTGATCTATCATTGGGAAATCAGCGTTTGCAACACCTAACCGGAACTGGCACGGAATGTGTTAACCGCGAATATTCAACATTTCCTGACGAGACGAAGACGATATTTTATGAAACTAACTAGAAGAGTTACTTTATTTCAATACTTCTCAAATTGATGCGTTATACGGAGTATAATATTAACCCCTTGCCCTATGATTTACTTTTTACTTTTCGACTATCATTAACAATTCATTAGGAAAAGAATCTTCCTCTATATTCGTGTCTACTCCAATGACTGATAACAGAGAAGCTTAATTTATATTCAAAGCGAGTAAATACTATTTAGATTTCTCAGATTCAGTGGAACATTTGTTTTAGCCCGACACGAGTAGGTCAAGGGGTTAACCATCAGATTTGATAGTTCCACTGTACATAATCAAATGTTCGAGAGTCGCCTCGAGTGCAGAGGGTTGAATCGAGACTCGAGGAGACCCGCAGCGACCCGAACGTCCTCGCCGTTCCCATCCGTTTTCTCGTCCGAGGAAAAATGATCGTCGAAGACGAATACCGCACACCGCGGCCCGGTGTCCTCTTCGATCCCGGCGCGCGTGTTTTCCAGAAACAACAGCCTTGGAGGGTATCGGATTATCGATTCAGCCTTGCCACTGTTTACGTCCGCAGCGTCACAAAGGAGTTAATGTAACGGAGTTAGATCGGTCGGAAGGGATTCCAAGAGAAACGCACTCGTCGGCACGAGGGAAAGAAGTCCTCTCCCCGCTTCCTCCGGATTCCGTTTCGCGTACGTGTTTCCATCGAGAAAGAGAGACAGAGAGATAGACAGAGACAGAGAGAGAGAGAGAGAGAGAGAGGGAGGGAGAGAGAGAGAGACGAGAACAGAGAAACGAGTATTTTCCAATCTTTCTCAGTTGCTTTTTCTTTTGTTATCAGATGGAAAGAAATCGAAACGGCGGACTTTTTTGCATTTCGGCGGGATAACGGCGAGCGTTCGACGGCTGCGAGGACCTCTAGCTCTCGGCGTCTTTTTATACTACGTGTCCTTGTCACTATAACCGTACCGTTGACGTCGCCCGGATTTTTAGACGGTGATTTCATCCATGGAGATTAGTAATCGGCCGAGATTATGTGGCACGCCGGCTTCCCGTTAGGGGAAACACCTTGCGCGCGGCCGATCGAAGAGGACGCCCGCCAGCGAGACGACAGGGGAACCCCCTGTAATGGAATCGACTCTTTGCGGACGAATCTCGACATCCTGAGATCACATGTTCATGTTTCGAGTTGCACACGAATCATTTGGTTGAATACCGGCGTGTTTACTTTTACCTGTACTTGACACGTCGAATGCCGGGTCACCGGTGACCCTCGAATAGGATCACTATATACTTGATTCTCATTTACGCGAAAGTCTGTTCCATGGGTTCGTTTCGAACGAAAATCGCGTAGAAGTCGATACGAGAGAAAAGAATGTTGAAGAGAAGCTGGTATAAGTTTCGTCCGCAAAGGGTTGAAATATTCTGGAACTCCTGTTTTACAATGGCCGACTCGTATCAACCCTTTGCACTCGACAATATTTTTCACTACAAGTATTCATGATTTCCCGATGAAATATTGGTACTGCGACTGACAAAGAGGAATCTTGCTTCAATTAACCCTTTGCACTCGAGAATATTTTTCTCAATAAATATTCATTACTTTCTGATGAAATGTCAATGATATTTTTTACAATTAACATAAGGAAATACCTTGCTTAAATTAAGTGACAATATTGACGTGTTCGGACATTATATAAAATTTAATATTGAATTTTTAATTATACAATGTTCTTGGGTCAAATCAAATGGCGACTGGAAGGCGCCTCTCGAGTGCAAAGGGTTAAGGGTCAACTATTTATTATAACTATGTTGAAACGAACGACTTGTCGCCTCTCGAATACAAAGGGTTAATCTGGCTCTCCGCTCGACTCAGTTTCTCATGGAGAATTTCACTGAATTCCTCTTTAAACCGCGTTATAGGGGGTTCTACGCGCTCGATTCTCGACACGCGAGAAGCCTGCGTCGCGTGTACTCGCTCCATCGTACCGAAACTTCTACAAAAACGCGTGCGAAATTCTGGCAGATAAGTTCAGTAAGAAATCCTTCGGCTAATCCTCTGCAAGACTCGTTTACCAGTTTATCTTCCGAGTCTTCGGCTTGATTGCACCTAGCGACTAAAATCACCGATTTCCCGACTAATCGGAGATCCTCCAAGATCAATCGTGAATTCAATCGAAACTCGACTTACATTAGAATTTCCATAAACGAGAGATCGCTGGAGTGCGGTGCGTTCGAGCGAAAAGGCGAATCCGCAGGGGAACACGGGAAGAAAGTCGTGCGGACGACGTTAATTATCTACTCCGTAGTTAGCGACGAGATGAGATCGTGCAATAAAGTTCATGAAACGACCGGTACCATTCCACGCGTTCAACTATACGGGTATTAACCAGTTTTCCATTTTCAAGCGAATCTCGATGTCACTTTGTTCCGTTGTCGAGCAATAATCTGTGGCGACGATCGGCGGGCGAGAGAGAACTCTTTCTTCCTCGTATCCTTCCGTAGTTTTCTCTGACCGATATAAATGCCATAGGGACCCCGAGCGGCGGGTTCAGGACGCGCCTGTTCTCCGGCGAGAGACGCCTGATGTATTCGAATCGTTTCTCTGCGTGTACAGTGTCTATGTAATCAGACCCTTTCGTGAATATATCCACGTGTATGTTAATGTAACGTTAATCCGCAGTCTCGTAGCGTTCCGAACGGGAGGGCCGTCGGCCGATTAGCACCGCGACACGTTCGCCGTAGAATTTTCACGAGCTGCCTCGAGAAAACGAGGGAAAATTATTAGACCGGTCGACCGACCCGCGGTATCGGTGTTCCAAATCGCCTTTCACGCTTAGACGTGCGCTCGTTGGCCAACGGTTCGAAATCGATCGTTCGTTTCTGTGATGTTCCGTTGATTTTGACTGGAGAACCGTAAGGTTGCGATGACCGAACGCTTAGGCGACTTCTATTATCTTCAATTGAATTGATCCAATCGATCGGTTAGAAACTGTGTTTTTAAAGAGAACCGTATTTGATGAATTGCAAATAATTCTAGTTGAGGATTTAGCAAGTAACAGAAGGAAATACAAACAATGAAAGGTAATATGAAACAATGATCCGTATGGTTAATCCGAGCGAGTGTGAAGGGATCTATCACTATTGCCCGTTGGAACACCGTGATCGCGACAGGGAACGGTATAACAGGATGCAAGTCGAATGCGAGCAACGATAGACCGTAGGGTTTAATATGAAATTGATAGAAATCTGATCAATATCATCAGGCCTAATATACTTAACGTTGCGTGTATTTGTTGTTGTTGCCGGTTCATATCTTATATATTCCGAATATTGAAAGAAGGATATTTCGTCTATAAATTTTCAATGTTATACGTCATTTATGATAAAACATCGACGAGAGGAAAAACACAAAAAAATTCGAGTGAGAGAGCTGTAAACGTGAGACAGAGAGAATGAGAGCAAACGAGAGAGAGTGAGAGAGTGAGAGAGTGAGAGAGTGAGAGTGAGAGAAAGATGAAAATGTGTGGTTTCGACAAAGACAGATGCAGTAACTAGAGAAACAGTTATTAACAGTTTTTATGTAAGATAGTGGAACGAGATCTACGACGTCTTGCACGATTGCCTTTTAGCAAACGAGATCGATACTTCTGATCCCACGGCGAGACACGAGTAAAAGTAGATTACACTGGTAGCGCGAGCTGTTACACGGCCAGCGGAATAATTAATCGAACACACAATGAAAATGCAGCGACGACGCGATAGAACCCTGACTCACGGCTAACACGTTAAGCGGCACGAAAATCTTAAGCGTTTTCCCATAGAGTTTATTTTTTCAACTTCTACTTCAAAAAGTAGGAATACTTGTGAAATGTTGCAACGTTTGCGTTACACTGTTATCAACTTGGTTGCCTTGTTAAACATTTTTATTTCACATCGGTTGTCTTGTATGATACGATTGGTTTTTAGTCATTCAGAAGCGTCAGTCACCGGTGGCTGACATGCCGCTTAACGTGTTAACGCTAGTTAAGAAACGGTTTCCCGGTATTCGTACGAATCCTGAGGTACGCCCTCGTCAGAAATATCGCATCTCGTTTGTTAATGCATTTGAATTACCTCGTGCCTCCAGCTGCATTCATAACAAAAAAAGAAAAAAAAAGAACGGGGGACACACGGTGTTTTCGACTGGATCGCGATTGTCTTCTAGTCGAGGGAGCACTTTTATGCATTTCGAGAATCAAGGGGACGTGCAAAGGAATTTTTCTGAACGAGAAGAGAATGGGGCGAGACGTTAGAGGGGTCGAAAGCGACGCGGAAATCTATGAATGCGGCTAAAGAATTATATTCCGATAATCCACTGTGTTCTTCGACGGGAAATCTTTCATTTTTAAATTAAACTTCAGCCATTTCTCTGAATAATTGTTATTCGTGTAAATGATCGAATATACATACATCTATATACGCGTGTGCATGTGTACACGTATCGAACCGTGCGCGCGTGTGCCGCCGGTATATACGTGTACACATGTACGCGTGTATTTGAAATCGTAATTATCAATTATTGTATTTTAAATGACTATTCAAAGTATTATTGTGCTAATATAAAAGCGGCTTTATTGGTCAATTATTCGGAAATGATGTCACAATTATTCTTAACCCTATTTACTTGACTTCAATGGTTCGTTGACTATTCTTTTTTCCGGTCGTATAGGATATGTGGAAAGATTACATTCAACCTTTTGTTCGTTAGTCTCAACGGAAAGGTTAGATGAACTCTTACTATCGAATCGTATCTTCTTTTCCCTTTTTGTCCTTTTTTTTTGTTTTTGTTTTTAAATT